TAGTCCACTTAGACACTGTATATGTCTTTTGTGGGAGCGGCACTCAAAGCCACACATATATCTTTTTCTTCTTCTTGGTGTAAAACAGCTGCAAACACCGGTGGAAAGTTCTAGATGTTACTCTAATTCTAGACTTAAGTCTTGTTCCAGAACCCGAGTTTTGCATGAACATTCGCTTTACAGATCTGGCCGGCTCATCGGGGCGTCTAGAGTTGCCAGATTCTCCTTTTCCTGCAGATTCCTCCGGAGTAGGTTAACTGTGTTGATTATGCGTTTGTTATTAACAATGAGAAATGTGGTTATAAACACACAGCAAGTCGCCAGTCAGTTTTTGTCATTGTCATTTTTTATTTTACAAAATCTATCAAGCCTAGAGTCAGCACAACTGATAACCTGAGCATGTGACACTGGGTCGCAGAGAAGAAGAAGAAGAGGAAGAAGAAAATTAGCAGTGAGTCACCATCTTTCTTCACCATTGGCCGCAACTGGTTGTTGTTGTGTGACATCTGACGGCTACCACAACTTTCAACACAACTGAGCATGTGACACGGGTTGCAGAGAAGAAGAAGAAGAGGAAGAAAAAAATTATCAGTGAGTCACCATCTGTCTTCACCATTGGCCGCAACTGATTGTTGTGTGACATCTGACGGCTACCACGACTTTCAACACAACTGATAACCTGAGCATGTGACACGGGTCGCAGAGAAGAAGAAGAAAAAGAAGAAGAAGAAATTTAGCAATGAGTCACCATCTGTCTTCACCATTGCCCGCAACTTGTTGTTGTGTGACATCTGACGGCTACCACAACTTTCAACACAACGGATAATCTGAGCATGTGACACGGGTCGCAGAGAAGAAGAAGAAGAAAAAGAAGAAGAAGAAGATTATATTGACGCCACCTCTGGAGCCCTCCAAACCGTGATCATGACAACAGCAAGGGCGATAGAGTGAGGGTAACGGGAGCAATGAATCACCATCTCTCTTCACCATTGGCCGCAACTGGTTGTTGTTGTTGTTGGTGACATCTGACGGCTACCAGATTTGGATTAGCTTGACGGACATGTTAGGAGGCGGACAAGTAACAGCGATCTTATAGATCCTGACATTGCCAAATATCCTTTGCCAAACACCCTTTGCCAAACACTCTTGACATTGGTAACATCAATAGTGACGGGTTACAAGATAATGGCATGATTACTGTAGTTTATGTCACACTTGCTGAAATCAGATATGTGGGGCCGTAGATATTGCAACCTAGCTGTAAACCACAACTCAACGTGCAAACCGCCCTTCTATGAGCGAAGTCAGCAGCAACAGAAGAAGAAGAAGAGAACTGCTACACATAAAGATACACATTTTGTTGTAAGACCAAAAAGGAAAAAAATATCTCTTTCTTTTGTCCATTTTTTTTGCGCTGTGCTGCTAGGCGTCGCAGGTTTACAGACGATTGTTATCAGAGCTAGGGCACGCTCGGTTGCCCAGCACGCTGTGCCGTTGTGGAGACTCAAGATGTCAGTGGCTTCTTTGGCCATCTTCTGCTTCTTGGTCATCACCTACCTCTTGGTGTTGGATTAATTCCCCTTGTGTCTTGTTTTTCAATTATAGGAGCTGTTACTGTAGATCTCGTAATTTCTTTGTTTCTCACACATCATCTCTTCTAGTTATATGCTCACTGCCTTTCTGAAACATCTCATTTCGCAGGTGGTCAGTTTTTCCTTTTTGGTACACGTAAAACCAGTCGCGAGGCATTGTCAGTTCGCATGTGTAAGCGCGAGCAGGTGACGATCACACTGAAGAGGGTATGCCGTGATATTTATCCCCTGGTCGCTTCGATGTCGAGAGTATGCGTGTGCGGCCAGACTTTCGGTAGTAACTGGTAACTTTCCCACGTTACGGTTTCTGCATTAGTGACGTCAGCACGTAGCGAGCGATTTTTTTTTTTTTTGTTGCTACGTTGCAGACGTCAACCGAGTAGCGTATTTGTAATAAAATAATAAACAGTACTAATAAGTAGTAAGATCATATTTCTTTGGCATTAGGAAGTGTAGGTAACGATTACATACGTTACATGGACGCCTGGCCGGTGGGTAACAGCAACAAAAGGGGAGCCGAGCATTGTGCATTTTACTTTCCGTACAGTATTCGATGCGTGCGCGCGGGAATGATTTTGTGCGTTTGCTGGTGCTTTCTAGGTCAATCGATGCGAAGAAATCGGCTCAATGCCGTCCAAAAATAGAAGCATGACTCACTGTCCCATTCTGTCATCGACTGCGGGCTTAAGGGTTATTGGCTGTTGTGTGCTCACACACGATCAGTCTTCTTTGCAACTTAAATCATGCGCGCGCACCACACACACACAGAGAGGAACTTTCGCGTCTTTATATTAATACAAAAATACAAACGCATCTTTCAGATTTACACAAAACCACCCCCGCCCCCTTTCCCCCACACAGACATCATCATCATCACTCTCTCTCTCTCTCTCTCTCTCTCTCTCTCTCTCTCTCTCTCTCTCTCTCTCTCTCTCTTTCTCTCTACCATCACGTCCTCACATTAACACGCAAAACTCATCTTTCACATGTACACAAAATCACGCACCCTTCCCCGCACACACACACGTACGCACACACATATCATAGTCTCGCCCTCTTTCTCTCTCTCTCTTTCTCTGTCTTTCCCTCTCTCTTTCTTTCTCTATTTCTCTCTCTCACAGGGCCACCGTCACAGAGTACCACCATCATGTTTTTATACACTACGAAAGAAGTCTAATTGTTTCAAGATGTCATCTAGTCTTTCCCACTTTCACTCATTAGTCATCACGTTGTTCCTACTTATTATCTCCGAACTTACAAACACGCACACCATCATAACTTCCATACTTACACACACACACAGCGCTTCTGACATGGGGGCTGAGTGGTCTCGAGGAATGGCATCCGCATCGAGTGCTGAAGGTCCTGGGTTCAAACCATGCGGACTTCTAGTAATTTACCCTAGTCTCAGGGTAGTAAGACCGGAACGCCCATGTGTATTGTTGCGCAGGTAAAAAAATACCTTGACAGTTGGAAATAAAACAAAGTGCAGCCTAATGGCTACTTTGCTGTGGTGACTTGTTACCTCATCATCTCATCTCGAAGTGATTTAAAGTGTATTTTAGTTGGTGTGATGTCATTGTGAAGCCAGTTACTGTACATAGTTTCATCATCGTGATGTCATACAGTGGGTTTGATGACCGGGTCATCATCAGGGCCTGGTCATAGATGACATTGTGTCGTCATCATAAAGTAGGTTCATGACAGTTTCATCGTCATAAGGTGGGTTAGACTGAGGTTTGGTCAACGTGGCTTGGTCATAAAGTGGGTTAGATAACACTCATTCTTTCTCGTAAGGTGGGTTAGTTTGCAGTTTCATGGACATGGCGTGGTAATAAAATGGGTTAGATGACACTTTGATTGGCATAAAGTGGGTTATATGACAGTTTTATTTATAAAGTGTGTTAGATGGCAGTTTCACCCTCATAATGTCATCTTGAGGTGTGCTCCATGACATCGTTTCATCATCACATCACCATAATGTGGGTTACATGACATTGTTTCATCATCACATCACCATAATGTGGGTTACATGACATCGTTTCATCATCACATCACCATAATGTGGGTTACATGACATTGTTTCATCATCACATCACCATAATGTGGGTTACATGACATCGTTTCATCATCACATCACCATAATGTGGGTTACATGACATTGTTTCATCATCACATCACCATAATGTGGGTTACATGACATTGTTTTATCATCACATCACCATAATGTGGGTTACATGACATTGTTTTATCATCACATCACAATAATGTGGGTTACATGACATCGTTTTATCATCACATCACCATAATGTGGGTTACATGACATTGTTTCATCATCACATCACCATAATGTGGGTTACATGACATCGTTTCATCATCAAAAAGTGGATTTGAATTTTTTGGGGTGTAAAGTTTGTCACTGTGAAGTGGTTTAGATGACATATTCATCATCAGCTGGGTAAGATGATAACACAGCCCAGAATTATTCAACAGAGTTTATCCAGTGGCCTAAGTGTTGTAAATGGGGGTTGTTAAAGGCCGGAAGCCTGAACCCCAGCGTAGAAATCATTAATACAATACAATTGACTTTGATTCCTAGGCCACTTGCTAGGTCTCTGCTGAAGCGACCCTGCGCACCGCCATTTGAGTAGTCTTGCCATATAGCCCAGGCTTGATCTGCAGCCTGATGTGTAGTGTTGGTGGTGGTGATAATTCTTCTTCTTCTTCATCTTCTTGTTCTTTGCGTTCACCGGCTGTAAACTCCTGCGGAAAGTTCTCGTTGTTAGTCCACTTCTGGACTGCAGTCCTGTTTCAGAGCCTGAGTATTGAGTAAGCATGCGTTTGACAGATTTGACTCATTTGTGTGCAGACTGTTGGTTCCTTGCCTCTCAGGCAGATGTACTCCGACTTTGAAGGAAGCTTCCATTTAGTCGATTCTTACGACATGCTTTTGGCTAGGCAGTGGGTCTGTTCTTGTTTTCCCTATAATAAGGCCCCAAAACCCACACGGGGATGGTTGTGATAATGATATAGGTAGCTTCAGGGAAGTCATGTAACAGGTCAGGTTAAAGTTGGGAGATGCGTCATTGCACGCAGTTATAAACCATAAATGCTCTGCCAAAAGCACGGACAGCTGATAAGAAACTGTCCGCCTGTGTCGCCATCCGCACACAACTCCGTAGCTACAACAACGTTCCTCCATTTACCCCAGAGTGTTGACTCTGATACCCATTTCCTAGAGGCTGGAAAAACACAGGAACCGCCAAGTTTTGAACCATGGCCGTGGGCTGCAGTGAGTCGCAGCTGGATATAAAAGCGAGTCTCCTATCGACTGCGCTAACGCAGCCCCTTAGTGAGTGAAATCATTTGCATGCATTAACCCAGTGTTACCTTGTGCTGTGTCTGCAGACTATGGTGATTGACAGCAGGTCGTTCCTGGAATACAACACAAGTAACATCCAGCAGTCAGTAAATGTTTGCTGCTCCAAGCTGGTCAAGCGCAGACTGCAGCAGGACAAGGTATTGCCTGTGTCCCTGTCTGTCCGTGTCAACAGGACAACGAATTGTCTGTCTGTGTGTGTGTGTCTGTTTATGCTTCTGCATGTGTATGTGTCTGTCTATATATGTCTGTTAGCACGATGAGGTATTTTATGTCTGTATATACATCTATCTGTGTACAGTTGTCAGCAGGACATGGTATTGTCTGTCTGAATGTGTCTCTCTGCAGGACAAGGTATTGTCTGTCTTTACATGTGTCTGTCTATGTTCAGTTGTCAGCAGAACATGGCATTATCTGTCTCTGTAGGTGTCTGTCTATCAGGAGGAGAAGGTATTGTCTGTCTGTACATGTGTCTGATGTGTACAACTGTCAGCAGGACATGGTATTGACAGTCTGTGTCTGTCGATCAGTCTGTCTGCCACATTCATTTTGTTCATTCTAGTTAGTGATGAAACTGCTGCAAGTTACAGAAAGATGTTCCTTGGAAGTCAGATTGCATCTGCCTGAGAGGCAAGAAACCAGCAGTCTGCATACAAATTAATCAGATCTCTGAAACGGATGCACACACAACACTCAGGGGCTGAAACACGACTGCAGTCCAGAAGTGAATGAACAGCCAGAACTTTCTGCCAGAGTTTACAGCTGGTGAACGCGAAGAAGAAGAAGACAGAAGATGTTGCTTTTTCACTTAGTCTGCCTGGTACTCGTAGCTTATGTCATCTGCTGTCCTTTACTTAGCTGTCATAAGGTGTCCCCAAAGAGACTGAGCACTTGTGACTATGTTCTTGTCCTAGATCCATGTGCTGGACCTGCTGAATCAGACGTGCAACATCGGGGCTGATACATCCTGGGACGTCATCGTCTATGACCAGTGCAGTGAGGACCCCTCTCAGCTGACCTCCGACAATTTTGTGGCAGTTTTATTGAATAAATTAAGCACAACCTTCAACAGTGTCGCCTTTCTTAAAGGTAAGATCTTGAATAGTAAACAGAGCTGCCTCCGGCCCGCTTGTTTTCTGCCTCATCTTGACACTGTCAGTACATAACCTAACATAAACCTTGACCCATTAGGGTTGTGGAGGTGTATTGATGGAATCACTAGCACATAAAACCTGCCATCTTTCTCTGTCTTCTGCTTGATGAATAAGTGTTAAAGGTTAGTTGTGTATCCTTTACAGGACGTTGCAGAACCAACCCTAACAGCCCCTGGCTGTTGTGTGGTTTTTCTAGGCAAATTTACATCCAGTAGTTTGCCATTGCTTTCTGGATGGTTGGCTTTCTTGATACCACTGCCGAAACCAACGCAAGGTGCGTGGCCCGCAGCTGGGATCGAACCTGGCGTCCCGGCATTACGAAGCATTCACATTGACTTAGCCACAGAGCCAACGAATAAGTGTATGATAACTTAATCCTGTCCATTTCTTAATGTTGTCATTCCAGGTTCTTCTTTGCCTTCCTCTTTTTCGACTGCCCCCCAATGTTCCTTGAAGTTAAGTCAATCAAATCATGTCTCACCACGTGCCCAAACCAGGTTAGCTTGTGACGTTTCACCACTGCCAAGAGAGGCTCCTGATGTCTCCTGCAAATTTGTATATTTTGTCTCTGACATATTTATTAGTTTTGTGTTATAAATAACTAATTCGTAAAATGCGCATTTACATTCGAAAGCCTGAATCCTCCTTGTGACAGTACAACTCTCACTCCCTTATTATAAAATAGACAACACCAGTGATTTGTAAATATTTATCTTGACTGGGAAGCTGATTTTGCTCTTCCACATTGTATTCAGCTGTGACATCGCTGTTGCCATAGCAAAGATGTTGTCATTACAGTAAGATGAATAGTTTCACTCAGCACAGCCAGAAAATTACAGCTGGAAATTTTGAAGGAAGAGTTTCAGGTCAAGAGACAATCACCAGCAAATGTCTTTCATCATTGATTGTCCTGCTGTGTCATTTTGTGTCACATAAGGCTTGCTGTTACTTCCTCCATCTGGTTCTGCCCTTTTGTGCTATCACTTAGATGATTGTAATAGACTCTGAAGGCTTGCTGAGAAAGGAGAAGACAGGGATGCTTCGAGCAGAATGGCAAGCTTCACTGGGAAGGTCACGGGTAGGGAGCATAATTTTGATCTTCTCTCCAGACTATGCTGGCCTAGTGGGTAATGAACAGGCAGACAGATTGGCTGGATTGAGACATATCAAGGCAGATGTGGTCAAGGCCCTTTGGGAACAAGCAACAGAATCAGTAGAGAAAGAAGATTATTATGGCCTGGAGAGCATGAGGTACCTGGGTGTAACCAGAGGGTCTAGCTGGCTCACTGCACTCAGAGGAAGGGCAAGATGGACATATAACCAGATTGTGACCCGTACCGTCAGTATTGAAACTCCACTCTGGCTGCTGAAGATGAGGACGGAGCACACATGGGAATGCCCCAAGTGCTGTGATGTCAATTCTTGACTCAACTCAACTCACCTCACTTCGATATCTTATTAAAGTTCACTGTACCGTTTCTCGTGGAGAATCTCGTTTCTTCTGTCTCTCTGTTTCCTACTTTGGTACCTGTTTGTTAATTCTCTGTTTCGTCTCAGGATGTGTCTGTTTGGCATTGGTAGTCATGTCTGTTGATAATTTTCTGTCTCGTGGACTTTCGTTCAGTTCTAATACAGAGGATCTTTCCACGCCATGATATTACTGACCAGCATCGTCTCTCTCTGCCTCTTTCCCCCTCTGACGTTCCCATCGTCACGAGGTATTCCAGTGTTTTCCTTCTCATGAACTGACCACACAATGTTGACTATCTCCTTCTGATGTGGGCAGACAGTTCTCTTCATGTGTTACTTTCAAGACATTTTCATTACTCTTTTTTATCTGTCCAAGGGGTTTTCATAATCGTCTATAAACCACACCTACGTTGCTTTGACATTTTTATTTCTTATACTAATTTGCCAACTGTCTATGATTTCTTTAAGTATGTATCAACATGTGTCCCCAGCGGGGGGCTCCACACATTCACACGAATGATTATACCAACACATGGCCCCAGTGAGCAGGGGAGGGGGGGGGGGGGGGGGGGGGGGGGGGGTCCACAAGTATCCACATGAATAATTACACATGCCACATGCCCCCAGTTGGGTGGAGGGGGTAACTGCACACCTATTGACACACATGATTACACCAACACAAAGCCCCCAATAGGGATCGAAAAACAGGAACTACCAAAGGCTACAATTGCTACATTGAATATAGACAGAGAATCTGAGACCATGGTGATAGTTGTAGTCAACACAGAGAATCAGAGAGAATGATTGTTCTTATTACTTGATTATTAAAAAGATCTTTAAGCTGGGCCCCCCCCCCCCCCCCCCTTTTCAGGTAACACATTAACGAGTCCACTATAGCTCTGCTGTACTTTGTTTTTGACTGCACCTTATGTCCCCCTTGTTCATGTTCCAGGCGGTTTCCTGGCATTTCAAGCCTCTCACCCAAGCCTGACGGAGAACAAGACCGGCAGCCACCGATGTTCAACTCTGACCTCCTTGTCTCAGCCTTGTATGCCAGTTAGCAATGTCGGACCTACCCGAATCCTTCCCTTCTTGTACCTGGGCAGCCAGCAAGACGCGCTCAACCAGGAACTAGCACAGGTGAGCATTCGTTTAAAACATTCAGAACTAAACCATGACAGGTTCTGCTGTTCAGAATATATCATCTATACCTTATTGTTCCCCATGTAAGAAAAATATATAATCTATACTGTATTTTTCCTTGTGAAAGAGAAATATATAATCTATACTGTATTTGTCCCTGTGAAAGAGAAATATATAATCTATACTGTAATTTTCCATGTGAAAGAGAAATATATAATCTACACTGTATTTTTTCCTCATGTAAAAAGAATATATAATCTATACCGTATTTCCTCGGGTAAAAAGAATATATAATCTATACTGTATTTTTCTTTGTGTAAGAAAAAAAATAATCTAAACTGTATTTTTGCTCGTGTAAAAAGAATATATAATCTATAATGTATTTTTTCTTGTCTAATAAGAATATATAATCTATACTGTATTTTTTCTCATGTAAGAGGAGAATATATAATCTATACTGTATTTTTCTTCATGTAAGAGCATATAATCTATACTGTATTTCCTCAAGTAATAATTTTACTGTATTTTTCCTTGTGTAAGAGGAATATAAAATCTACACTGTATTTTTCCTCCTGTAAGATTATATAATCTATACTGTATTTTATAATCTATACTGTATTTTTCCTCGTGTAAGATTACATAATCTATACTGTGTTTTATAATCTATACTGTATTTTTCCTCGTGTAAGATTATATAATCTATACTGTATTTTATAATCTATACTGTATTTTTCCTCATGTAAGATTATATAATCTATACTGTATTTTATAATCTATACTGTATTTGTCCTCGTGTCAGATTATATAATCTATACTGTATTTTATAATCTATACTATATTTTTCCTTGTGTAAGAGGCTCCCATGTGCAAGAAGACTCCTATTTTTTAGCCCAAGATTAAGAAGCAAATATTTTAAACACATTCCGCATGAAAGAAAACCTCCCACTTTTAAACTTAACAAATTTGGGAAAACATAATCTTATACACGTAAAAATTTTGTAGGAAATTAAGCATGCATTTGTGTTTAGCACTCTAGAACTTATGAAGTCACATTTGCCTAGCCCAACGGTTCTCAAACTGGGTTCCGCTGCACCCCAGGATGCTATGAGCGTAAGCAGCAGTAATAAAAAATTCATTCAAACAGTTTCATTCAACACATTAAAGACAACTGAACATTAAATTTGCGCTCTCTTTTCTTATTTTCCTTAGTATTCAACGGCTTGAAGGGTAACTGTGTCGCGAAAAAATTTCAGGCTGACAAGGGTGCTGCAGCGAAAAAAGTTTGAGAACCGCTGGCCTAGTGGCTTGGCACTTGTGGGTCTTCCATTCATATGTGCCCGAATCAGATTTGCTTCAGAATTGACCTTGGCACTCAGGTCTACCCAGCCTAAAATGGGTACCAGGTAATGTCCTGGGAAGTAAAGGAGACCGGCCTGATGTTAACTACCTCATTTATTGAGTGCTGAACAGTCTAAAAGATATGAATCTAGAATGATATGCCTATTGTGCCACTGTTCTTTACTTGCTATGGAACTCTGCAGGCTACTGAAGATGGGGACAGAGTGCTTATGGGAATGTCCCATTTGCTGTGATATCAGTTCTTAGCTCAACTGCTGCCCCAGCATTATTTGTATTGTTTATTGCTGCCCTGGTATTGTTTATATTATTTATTCCTGCCCCAGGATTATTTATATTGTTTATTGCTGCCCCAGGATTGTTTATATTGTTAATTGCTGCCCCAGTATTTTTATACAGTGTTTACTGCTGCCCCAGTATTGTTTATATTTATTTCCTGCCCCAGTATTGTTTATATTGTTTTTTTGCTGCCCAGTGTTGTTTATATTATTTATTCCTGTCCCAGTGCTGTTTATATAATTTAATGCTGCCCTAGTATTGTTTATTGCTGCCCCAGTATTGTTTAGTTTTTTTTTTTTATTGCTGCCCCAGTATTGTTTATATTGCTTATTGCTGCCCAAGTATTATATAAATAAACAATATAAACAATACTGGGGCAGGAAATAAATATAAACAATACTGGGGCAGCAGTAAACAATGTATAAAAATACTGGGGCAGCAATTAACAATATAAACAATCCTAGGGCAGCAATAAACAATATAAATAATCCTGGGGCAGGAATAAATAATATAAACAATACCGGGGCAGCAATAAACAATACAAATAATGCTGGGGCAGCAGTTGAGTTGTATTTTTTATGTATATCATTATCAGGTGCCTTGCCAACTGGCGTGGACGATCATGCCTCTCCATAATCGGCGATCTCCTGCAGCATGTATCAGTTCGTGTGCCGACACACCTCCATGCTATGCAACAAGACTGTCAAGCATCTTCTCTTGTTGTCTCCCTCTATCCCTCCTTCCACAAATCTTTCCAGTGGTCACAACATGTTCTATTTTCCCTCTTCTCATAACATGGCTGAAAAATGATGACTGTCTCCTTCTGATGTCTGTGATAAGTTGTCTTCGGGCTCCTGCCTCTTTAAAAACCTCTTGGTTGCTCTTTTTGGCTGTCCAAGGTATTCTAAGCATTCTTCTGTAAAACCACATCTCTGAGGCCTCAAGAAATTGTTGACCTGCCTACCGATTGTCCAGGATTCACAGCCATATGTTAAAACTGGATGTATGTAGCAAGCAAGAATTCTTTTTCTAACTCTCAATGACAAGGATATGTTGTACAAGATGTTCTTCATTTTATAAAATGCAGTTTTTGCCTGTCCTATTCTGTTTCTTATCTCAGTTATGCATCTTCCATCTGATGTTATCCATATGCCCAGATACTTAAATTTCTGTACTTATCCTAAAATAACACCTTCCACTTTTATTACACATTTAAGAAAAAAAAAAAAATATATATATATATATAAAACTATGTTTTTATATGTTTACTACTTTATATACTATATGACAACTGACATCTTATGTTTATCTGATCTTTTCCTCTGCATCCCCAGGTCAATGGTATCTCCTACATGCTGAACGTCAGCAAGACCTGCCCACGGCCATCTTTTATTTTGGACGGCCACTTCCATCGCATCCCCGTCAATGACAACTACTGTGAGAAACTACTGCCCTTCTTTCAAGAGGCTTTTCAGTTCCTAGGTAAGTTCACTTTACAGATGGTCACAGACATCATCATGAGACTGACAGATCACTAGAAGTACTATGATGAGACTGATAGATCACCAGAAGTACCATGAATAGACTGATAGATCACCAGAAGTACTATGATGAGACTGACTGATCACCAGAAGTACTATGATGAGACTGATAGATCAACAGAAGTACCATGATGAGACTGACAGATCACCAGAAGTACCATGATGAGACTGACAGATCACCAGAAGTACCATGATGAGACTGATAGATCACCAGAAGTACTATGATGAGACTGACAGATCACCAGAAATACTATGATGAGACTGACAGATCACCAGAAGTACTATGATGAGACTGACAGATCACCAGAAGTACTATGATGAGACTGACAGATCACCAGAAGTACCATGATGAGACTGACAGATCACCAGAAGTACCATGATGAGTGATAGATCACCAGAAGTACCATGAATAGACTGATAGATCACCAGAAGTACTATGATGAGACTGACTGATCACCAGAAGTACAATGATGAGACTGACAGATCACCAGAAGTACTATGATGAGACTGACAGATCACCAGAAGTACCATGATGAGACTGACAGATCACCAGAAGTACCATGATGAGAACTGACAGATCACCAGAAGTACCATGAATAGACTGATATATCACCAGAAGTACTATGATGAGACTGACTGATCACCAGAAGTACTATGATGAGACTGATAGATCAACAGAAGTACCATGATGAGACCGACAGATCACCAGAAGTACCATGATGAGACTGACAGATCACCAGAAGTACCATGATGAGACTGATAGATCACCAGAAGTACTATGATGAGACTGACAGATCACCAGAAATACTATGATGAGACTGACAGATCACCAGAAGTACTATGATGAGACTGACAGATCACCAAAAGTACTATGATGAGACTGACAGATCACCAAAAGTACTATGATGAGACTGACAGATCACCAGAAGTGATATGATGAGACTGATAGTACTATGATGAGACTGATAGATCACCAGAAGTACTATGATGAGACTGACAGATCACCAGAAGTACTATGATGAGACTGACAGATCACCAGAAGTACTATGATGAGACTGATAGATCACCAGAAGTACTATGATGAGACCGAATAGATCACCAGAAGTACTATGATGAGACTGACAGATCACCAAAAGCACCATGATGAGACTGATAGATCACCAGAAGTACCATGAGAGTCTGACAGATGACCTCATGAGTTTGACAGATGACAGGATGATGAGACTTGCCCCTGAATCTTCTCTGCAGTGCAGTTATTGTGAGACTGACAGATCACCACAGGTTTAATAAGACTGACAGATCACCACAGGTTTCATAAGACTGACAGATCCCCATAGCAATCATGATGAGACCGATAGATTAAATTATTAGACTAACAGATGGCCACAGGCATCATGATGTCACTGACAGATAAAACGGGTAATGTGATGGGGCTGACAGATTACATTGGTAATGTGATTGGGCTGACAGATGACATGGGTAATGTGATGGGGCTGACAGATGACATGGGTAATGTGATGGGGCTGACAGATGACAGGGGTAATGTGATGGGGCTGACAGATGACACGGATAATGTGATGGGGCTGACAGATGACATGGGTAATGTGACGGGGCTGACAGATGACATGGGTAATATGATGAGGCTGACAGATGACAGGGGTAATGTGATGGATGGGGCTGACATGTGACACGGGTAATGTGATATGGCTGACAGATGACACAGGCAATATGATGGGGCTGACATGTGACACGGGTAATGTGATATGGCTGACAGATGACACAGGCAATATGATGGGGCTGACAGGTGACAGGGGAAATGTGATGGGGCTGACATGTGACATGGGTAATATGATGGGGCTGACAGATGACAGGGGTAATATAAAGGGGCTGACAGATGACACGGGTAACATGATGGGGCTGACAGATGACACAGGTAATATGATGGTGCTAACAGATGACACGGGTAATATGATGGCGCTGACTGATGACACGGATAATGTGAAGGGGCTGACAGATGACAGGGCTAATATTATGGGATTGGCAGATGACATGGGTAATGTGATGGGGCTGACAGATGACACAGGTGATCTTATGGGACTGACAGATGACATGTGTAATGTGATGGGGCTGACAGATGACTCAGATGATATTATGGGACTGACAGATGACATAGGTAATGTGATGGGGCTGACAGATGACACAGGTGATATTATGGGACTGACAGATGACACAGGTGATATTATGGGACTGACAGATGACATGAGTAATGTGATGGGGCTGACAGATGACACAGGTGATATTATGGGACTGACAGATGACACAGGTGATATTATGGGACTGACAGATGACATGGGTAATGTAATGGGGCTGACAGATGACACCGGTGATATTATGGGACTGACAGATGACACGGGTAATATGATGGGGCTGACAAATGACTGGGATAATATGATGGGGCTGACATATGACATGGGTAATATGATGGGGCTGACAGATGACATGGGTAATATGATGGGGCTGACAGTTGACATGGGTAATATGATGGGGCTGACAGATGACAGGAGTAATATGATGTGGCTGACAAATGACTAGGATAATATGATGGGGCTGGCAGATGACATGGATAATATGATTGGGCTGACAGATGTCATGTAACTTACATCCTGGTACCCATTTTAGGCTGGGCCGACCTGCGATGCCCCATACCATGATAAAAATCTACGCAGCCAGCAGTGGGTTTTGATCGCGGTACATTGGAATTACGAGTCAGACCCGCAACGCCTAAGCCACAGGAGCTGCGACAGATTGATAGACTCACATATATGGTGTTGAATCAGTAAGAATCAAGAATCAGTCCGTCACCTGATATCTATCAGTTAGAATCAAGAATCAGTCCGTCACTGATATCTTGTCAGCTTAAATATTTGCACATGTCTTCTCTGACACTAGACAAAGTTCGTGAAGCGAATGGTTGTGTCCTGGTTCATTGTCTGGGTGGAGTGTCACGGTCGGCCACACTTGCTATTGCCTACATCATGAGGTACTTCCGCATGTCTTCAGATGAAGCATACCGGTGAGTCTGGTGTTTTCCTTGTCAACATACATTTGTAAATCAAGAGCATCAGATTTGTACAACTTTTCAATACAGTCTAGCTGTTCTATCTACTATCTACCTTCTCTCCACCTTGTACTTTCTTTCTAGTGTACCTTCTCTATGCCTTGTACTTTCTCTCTGCTGTGTACTACATCTTATATTTTCTCTCCTCTGTGTACCTTATACTTTCTTTCTGCTGTGTATTTTCTCTCCACCTTGTACTTTCTCTCTAATGTGTATCTTCTCGCCACCTTGAACTTTCTCTCTACTGTATACCTTCTCTCCATATTTTATTTTCTCTCTACTGTGTACCTTCTCTCTACCTTGTACTTTCTCTCTACTGTGTACCTTCTCTACATCTTATACTTTCTCTCTACTGTGTACCTTCTCTACATCTTATACTTTCACTCTACTGTGTACCTTCTCTACATCTTATACTTTCACTCTACTGTGTACCTTCTCTCCATCTTATACTTTCTCTCTACTGTGTACCTTCTCTCCACCTTGTACTTTCTCTCTACTCACTCTCTCACTGTACTACCTTCTCTCCACCTTGTACTTTCTCTCTACTACGTACCTTCTCTCCACCTTGTACTTTCTCTCTACTATGTACCTTCTCTCCACCTTGTACTTTCTCTCTACTATGTACCTTCTCTCCACCTTGTACTTTCTCTCTACTATGTACCTTCTCTCCACCTTGTACTTTCTCTCTACTATGTACCTTCTCTCCACCTTGTACTTTCTCTCTACTGTGTACCTTCTCTCCACCTTGTACTTTCTCTCTGTGGTGTACTTATTCTCCACCCTATACTTTCTGTCTACTCTGTACCTTCTCTCCACTTTGTCATGGGGCGAGAGGGATAATTGTCCCTTGATATTTAGATCTATGAGAAGAAATAAAAGTAATTGTCCTGTGATCACAAATATTAAAAAAAAATAACAATTATACTGTAATTTTTAAATGAATAAAAAAAACAAAAACATGATAATACTATTTACAAAAGAGTTGCATAGAAGTAGACCATGAGGCAGATGAAAAAGACAGTGAAGAGATAATGTACAGACAGACTTGCGAACACTTGGAATCACCAACTGGAAAGAGAAGATCATTAAGGAAGATGAAAAAAGGATGGTCATATCTGTAGCCGTGAACCTCAAAGGCTCGAAATGCTGAAGAAGAAGAAGGCAGCAGAATGCTGAAGAAAAAAGAAGGTACCGGAATGCTGAAGAAGAAGAAGGTACCAGAATGCTGAAGAAGAAGAAGGTAACGGAATGCTGAAGAAGAAGAAGGTAACGGAATGCTGAAGAAGAAGAAGAAGAAGGTACCAGAATGCTGAAGAAGAAGAAGAAGGTACAGGAATGCTGAAGAAGAAGAAGAAGGTACAGGAATGCTGAAGAAGAAAAAAGAAGGTACCAGAATGCTGAAGAAGAAGAAGAAGGTACCAGAATGCTGAAGAAGAAGAAGAAAAAGAAGAAGGTACTAGAATGCTAAAGAAGAAGAAGAAGAAGGTACAGGAATGCTGAAGAAGAAGAAGAAGGTACAGGAATGCTGAAGAAGAAGAAGAAGGTACCAGAATGCTGAAGAAGAAGAAGAAGGTACCAGAATGCTGAAGAAGAAGAAGAAGGTACCAGAATGCTGAAGAAGAAGAAGAAGGTACCAGAATGCTGAAGAAGAAGAAGAAGGTACCAGAATGCTGAAGAAGAAGAAGAAAAAGAAGAAGGTACTAGAATGCTAAAGAAGAAATAGGTACCAGAATGCTGAAGAAGAAGAAGAAAAAGAAGAAGGTACTAGAATGCTAAAGAAGAAATAGGTACCAGAATGCTGAAGAAGAAGAAGAAAAAGAAGAAGGTACTAGAATGCTAAAGAAGAAATAGGTACCAGAATGCTGAAGAAGAAATAGGTACCAGAATGCTGAAGAATAAGGAACCGGAATGCTGAAGTAGATGAAGGTACCGGAATGCTGAAGAAGAAGAAGGAACCGGAATGCTGAAGAAGAAGAAGGAACCGGAATGCTAAAGAAGAAGAAGGTACCGAAATGCTGAAGAAGAAGGAGGTACCATAAATCTGAAAAAGATGAAGCTACTGGAATGCTGAAGTAGATGAAGGTACCGGAATGCTGAAGAAGAAGAAGGAACCGGAATGCTGAAGAAGAAGAAGAAACCGGAATGCTAAAGAAGAAGAAGGTACCGAAATGCTGAAGAAGAAGAAGGTACCGGAAAGCTCAAGAAGAAGAAGGTACTGACTGATTTTACTATCATTTTTATATGAATGGAGAAAGGGGGGAAAATAGACTGCTCTAGAGTTACAGTAATGATTGTTTTGTTTTGTTTCAGGTACGTGAAAGACAAGCGTCCAACTATATCTCCCAATTTTAATTTTCTGGGACAACTTTTGGAGTATGAGAAGATACTCAGACTGGAAGAACAAGAAGAGGTTGCTCGAAAGATGATGAGAGATGAAGAAGGAATCAGTGGGGATTTTGATCGGGCATTTCCTGGAGTAATGGATCTTCATACGACTAGCCCATCTTCTCCAAGTCCTCGAAGAACTCTAAGGCCATTTGTTATGGGCTTTTCTGTGCCATTCTTTGAGACTCGTGCTGCTGCACCCTCACTGAAGGCAACAGCATTGGGACAGCCAATGGAGGTAGCATCCAGCATTGCTGATGCAGTGATGGAAGATTCAAACAGTCATATAAACTCAAATGTGTCAGGTTTACTTCACCTTCCAGGATCTTCATTAAAGCTGTACCCCTTTCCAGCACCTTTATCAGAGTTGTGCCCCTTTCCAGGACCTTCATCGAAGTTGTGCCCCCTTCCTGGACCTTCATCAGAGTTGTGCCCCCTCCCTGGACCATCATCAGAGTTGTGTCCCCTCCCTGGACCTTCATCAGAGTTATGCCCCTTTCCAGGACCTTCATTGGATGTTTGCCCTTTTCCAGGGCCATTGTTGTTGTGCCCCCTCCCTGAATCTTTACAGAGTCAGTCTGAGGCACAACTTGTGTGCTTTAGTTCAGTGGATGCAACTTTAACTACAGCACACATCAATTATGACCTGCATCCATGTCAACAGGACATGTCCTCTTTCTGTGATAACCTAAAACAGGATGTACATCCTGTCATTGCTCAGTCCCCTTTGTGCCCCGTTACCGGATTTCCAAGCCCAGCCAGTGCCGTGGGAGACTTCCCAGTATCCACCTGCCCCAAAACCGGTTTCCCTGGCCCTGGACTTCATGGCAGCAGCAACAACTCTACAATGATGCAACGGACACAGTTGCTGACATCAACCAGTTCAGCACTGAACCACGAGACAGTGACAAGAAAGACAGACTCACAGACATTATTTAAGACTTGTGTTACATATCACAACACTGCAGAGAGCAGTGGTCTGTTAGCAGAGTTGACAGGGACCTCCTCTGCATCATCACCTCCCTCAGATGGGCCAGACCCGGGACAGGTTCTCTGTCCTAAGAGCTTACAAAAAGAACACACAAGGTCCAGGAATAGTTTTAGCTTATCCTCGATGCTGTCTAGTCTGCGATGGAAAGCCAGGCCTCCCTCTCTGACTTTGGGATCGCCAACTGGTTCTGTAAAGGAAAAAATCCGGCACTCGAAGAAACACCCAGTAGAAACTGTCGGAGTGGTGGATGGAAGAGCTCAGTTGACCCCTGTCTCGGAGGCTGTGGAGAACTGTGATCTTGTTATTTCTGATGCACCATCTGAGGGAGTGAGTGAATGTGAGGTAGTGAGAGGAAGTGAACCTATGACACGGGCCTGGCCCTCAGTTGACCCCGGGGACCAGCACCAGAGTGAATTTAATGTTCCCTTACATGTCAGCCAACCTGGCATCTGCAGCAGCCTTTCCAATGCAACTATTATAGCAATGGCATCTACTCAGAGTAATTTATCTTTAGTACCAGTTTCATCATCCACATCATCACACTCCCACAGTGTGGTTGTGACATCCACATCATGTGTACCCACCAGTGTGGTTAAACCAGTAAGACTCAATATCAGTGCAACCAAGTTTGCTCTGCAACTTAGTTCCCCGACTTCAGATTTCACATCTGCGGGAGCTTTGTTATCATTACCGTCACCAGGTGATTCCAACAAACGGAAAAGTTTTCCACCTCTCAGCTCTGTTAGCCCTGATAAGCTTGCTAAGACTGAGGAGAGCTCTCCCCTTCATGCTCTGTCCCCACCTAGAACTCTAAACCTGCTCCAGGGAGCGCCTGGGAAACAAAAACCCAGGTTTTCTGGTAAACGGCCTTTTGTTTTACCCATCTCATCCCCAACGGCAGATATGGCCAGACTGAAAGTGACTTCACCTTCTGACCCACCTGCTGAGGCAGCAAAATATGATGATCTGGCAGTGTTGAGAGATGGTCCAAGAAAACATCATGCTTCTTGTTCACATCTGTACATGGATACTGGTCATTGTCACCCAGAGGCCACGGAGACAGCATCCAGGATGGTTTTTACATCCAGTGATTCTCATGGTATCTCTGGGTATGGGTACACAAAGTGGAGATCTGCCAGGAGCCTAAGTATGTCCAACACCTGTCTCGCTAGAATCACTCTTTTGGAAGACACAGTTTCATTGACTAAGATAGACACCTCTCCGCAGCAGCACCCAGATACCTCATCGGTAAAATCATCACCGTCATTATCTACCAAGTCGCTGTCATCCTCCTCATCACTTTCAAAGTCATGCACATCAATATACTCACCATCTGTGAAGCCACCCACCCTTGGTTCTATGAACAGCAGCATATCATCATCAGCATCACATTCAGTGAACCTTCAGGGTTTCAGCCAGTTCCCCACAACTTCTCTGGACAAACTGAGTTTCACACCTTGTTACACAAAGGACATTGTTCAGGACCTGAAAAGTCAAGAGTTGGAGCAGCTGGCTTCATTGGAACATGGCACATCCCCATCTGATGGAAACTTAGCACCATCTGTTCTAGACTCACCCA